ACTTCAGTCTTAAAACTAACTTAATTAAAGAATCTATATATATGGATTCTTATTACGTCATACTTACTTAATTTTATTAGAAGGTCGTAAGTGTAGCAGTATGTTCCTAAAAATAAGTACACATCCAATTAACAGAATTACATCGACTAAATTCTATGAATTAGTGCTTATAAGTCTTATTTATTCTTATTGACACACTAGCTGTGCCCGCAACTACGTCTGCGTGGTAATGTATATATGGAGAATTCTTTCTTTTCTATCGATGGAATCGAATCCATTAGGATCAATGGGCCGAAACCATACCTTATAAAACATAGCCATAACCATATTTCTATTACCTCCCTCATAATAGTATTTTTCATATATCTTCAATGTACAGACATCGATCAGTTAACGTTTTTAGTATAGTATATAGATATAGATTTCCATGGCTCCAATTAGTAATTAACTGCAGAGGCCTACAACGGTTTCGGTTCGATCTGTAGCGAACATCTGAGTTCTAATGTTACAACATATTTTCCATACTACATAAAGGAAGGTTCGAATATTGAATCTAGGTTTCTCGAAAACAAAAAGCATAAAAGTTCTATTGTTATGTCAAAATGTTACATATTTGTTCAATTACACATAACCACTTCCATCAAAGCCGTCTTATACCTCGTTATGGATCGAGGTTCGTCGGAATGTTTTCCGAGTTTCTGATAATTCCTTTATCAAATAAGTATAGTTCCTACAGCTTCTCAATATAGTTTTTTTATTCATTACACGTGTTATTCTTTTGCTTAACTTATTTTCTAGGTAAGTGCTTCAATAGATCAAGTAAAATGTCTATAATAATTTTGTATTTGTTGTGCCTATTTCCATCATAGAACCAGTGCGATGGTGATCTACTGATCACAGCAAATTTTAAAATAAAAAATGGTGTGTAAATAGCGTGACATATATTTAAATGTATTGAGTTTCATAAATGTTCAGTTTAAGAATAAAACTACCTTATTTGTAGAAGTTGTTGCATTCGAAGACAAAGAATATTGTGATATGGTTAATATACAATTTTAAAGTTCCCCTCAAACAAAAAGGCATTATGTAAATAAAACACTAGGTTGTTTAGTAATTAGTAGTATACGGGTCTCCTATATTATTATATATAGTTTTTTTTTTTTTTATTTGTTTATTTTAGGTCGTTTTTTAACATCAAGGTCATCAACGACCACGTTTGACATACAATATTTATATTATATATTATATTAATTCATACATGTTAATAGTTTTTAAGAAATTTAAAGTTCGAGTATATCCTTCTTGACCTAGATAATCTTTCAAGTTAGCATTAGCAGGTATATTACATAATCGTTTTTCATTACTATAAGAAGTACATTCTATTAGGAGGTGATTTACAGTTAGATCTAGTCCACATTTGCATTTGTTTTTAGGGGTTTTGGTTATTAAATGGATATGTGTCATGTTTGTGTGCCCAATACGTAATCTGGTAATGACTACTTGATCCCTTCTACATGAAGATATTTTTAGTGGTTTGTCAAAAATAGAATTTCGGACATTATATAATTTTGTTGTATTTTCTGTCTTCCAATGTTGGTCCCAAATTTTTTTTACTTTATATTTTATGAATTTTTGTACTTCCTTTGGTGTTGATTTAAATACTCTGGATATATCATTTTCATTTGTTGCATTTCTAGCTTCAGTGTCTACTTTATCATTGCCAATTATACTTTGGTGGCTAGGAATCCATATTAATTCGATCAAGAAATTGTTATTTAGCAGGTTTTCAATTTTGTATTTAATTTCCATAATAAGTGGGTTTGTATTATTAGCATTTTGTAAGGCTGTTAGGCATGATTTTGAGTCTGTCTAAATAATGTATTTTTGTGAATAATTTGATTCTTGTTCTATTATTTCTAGAGTTTTTAAAATAGCTGTAGCTTCGCAGCTGAAAATTGAAAAGAAGTCCCAAAGTCTATATCGATGAATTTTATCACCGGATACAATTGCGATTCCTGACTTTCCATTCATAACGGAACCATCAGTGTAGTAAACCTTACAATTGTTGTATCTACTATTTATTTCATTAAATAACGTTTTATATATGTGTTTTGGTGTATTATATTTCAGATTTTTGGCTAATTCTAGGTTAATGGGTAATTCATAATTTTCCCACGGTCCGTAAGCATTAAGTTTTTTTGTGAAAATTGGAGGGATCTTAAATTGTATTTCATTTAAGTAATTACGAACTCTGATCCGTAGGGGTCTCGGCAGGTCGGGTTGGAATTTGTATTTAACGTCTACAGCTGTTATTTTATTATAACAATTATATGTCGAGGTTTGTGGACATGATAAAATATTAATAGTGTATACAATCGCAAGTTGTTTCCTCCGCAATTCTAGTGGCATCTCTCCAGCCTCCGCCAATATACTTTTAATAGGACTTGTTTTAAAGGCACCAATACATAGTCTAAGTGCTGTATTTTGAATACTTTCTAGTGATTTTAGGGTGTGTTTTTTTGCAGAATCATAAATGACAGAGCCATAATCAATTTTTTGCTGTATTATAGCACGATACGTTTGCATTAGAGATTTTCTATCAGCTCCCCAAGTTGTTGATGATAAGATTTTGATTATGTTCATTCTTTTATAACATTCTGATTTAAGTTGATTTATATGTGTAGTCCATGTAAACTTTTGTCAATTGTTAATCCTAAAATTTTTATACTATTTACTTCTTTTATTTTATGTTGGTCTAATGTTAATTTAATGTTTCTAGACTTCGTTCTATTGTTTGTTATAATAATGAATTCAGTTTTAGTTTTTGAAAATTTGAACCCAGATTCGTTAGACCATTCTTGAAGCTTATTTAATGAATTTTGAACAAGTTTTAATGTAGGTTTAAGTGATCTACCACTACATGTTATTGTTAGATCATCAGCAAAGAGAAATCCCTTTACAGGTTTATTAATAGCAAGTAAAAAGAGAATTACACTGAGTACTGACCCTTGGGGCAGGCCGTTTTCGATTGTAACAGAATCAGATAGTATATCATTTATCCTTACTTTAATAGTTCTATTAGAGAGAAAATTTTTAACAAACGCTAGGGTGTTACCTTTTATGTCAATATCATTTAGTAACTTTAGGACTCTGTGTTTCCACACCATTTCATATGCTTTTTCTATATCCAGAGCTACAATCACAGAATAATGTTTATTTGCTATACTATCGAGTATCTCACTCTCAATATTCATTAAATGGTCGATTGATGATCTAAATTGACGAAAACCGTACTGAAATTGTGATAAATAATTGTTTGATTCTACATACCATCTGATTCTTTTACTGATAATTTTTTCAAAAATTTTGCATAGGTTACATGTTAAGGAAATAGGTCTATAACTTGTTTTTAAGCTTGATATTTTACCGGGTTTTAGTATTGGGATTACTAATGCTTCTCTCCAACTATCAGGAAATACCTGATTTTCCCACATGTAGTTATACATTTGGAGTAAGTATTCAAGTCCACTATTTGGTAAGTGTTTAATTATAATATTTGGGATATTATCCGGACCAGGACTTGAATTACCTAATTGGGAAAGTACCAGTAATAATTCATGCATGCATATTTTCTTATTGACTGGATTTGAATTATCATTTAAATCAAAGTTCATGTTGGTCTCCTGGTTTGTTTTAAAATCTTTAAATCCGTTGTTGTAGTTATCTGAGTTCGAATTTCTTGCAAACGTGTTCGCTAGTAACTGGGATATTTCCGTAGCGTCTGTAGTATATAATCCATCAGACTTTTCGAGTATGATATTATCAATTCTAGCGGTACGATGATTAAGTTTTTGTATCTTTTTCCACATATCACCAATAGGTGTCTTATTACTAATCGATGACACCCAATTTCGCCAATATTGTTTTCTGTTTTCTTTAAGTAGTCTTCTAAAGTATGCTCTCTTTTTCTTATAATCTATTTTATATTTTGAATACGGATCGTTACTGGCGTGTTTTTTAAATAGTTTCAGTGCTTTTTTGGTATCTTTCATTGCAATTTTACACTCCTCATTCCACCACGGTAAATTATTATTTTTTATCCTACCTGATGTTTTGGGAATTGACTTCTTGGCTGCTTCAATGATGATTTCTGTAAATTTTTCGATTATAGTGTTGATCGAATTTTCAGATACGTTTTTAATTGGAATCAGATTGTGAATATTTTGTTCAAATTCATCTTTAAACATTGGCCAATTAGCTTTATCAACTTTCCATTTTTTTGGTAATATTATACTCTTTGAGATATCAGAAGAAAATTGAGATGTTATAGAAATTGGGTAATGGTCACTGTCATATAATTCGTCTAAGGCGTTCCATTCAAAATATGACGTTATATTTTGTGAAGCCAAAGTTATATCTATATTACTTGTGCGACCAGTATTGCTATCAAAATGTGTGGGTTGGCCAGTATTTAATAACATTATATCAGAATGTTCATCAAGCCACTCAGCTATACTATTACCCCTAGTGTCACATTTTTCTGAACCCCAATAAAAATGATGGCTATTAAAATCTCCTAAAATTATGAACGGCGGTGGTAGTTGAGTAATCAATTGATTGAATTCATTTAGATTAAGTGTATTACTATTAGGTAGATAAACATTACATATTGTAATAGTTAAGGGATATTTAATTTTAATTGCTACTGCCTCAAGATTCGTATTCAATATTATTTGTTCGGAAATTGTGTGAGATTTTATAAATATAGCTACTCCTCCGCTAGCCCTATTACTATGCACTCGATTTTTGAAGAAGTGTTCATAACCCCTCAGCCGAGCACAATACTTGGCACTAAAATTAGTTTCCTGTAAACAAATGCAAGTGGGACATAATCGTTTAGTTAAAATTTTAATATTTTCTAGTCGCTTAAAATAACCATTAACATTCCATTGCAGAATATCCATATTTATACACTATAAAATAATTGGTTTTTATTTAACTTATTTATCTGTCTCTGATGTGACAATAGAATTGTGGTTTAATAATTCATGTAGCTTTCTAGATAATCGTGAACATCTTTTTTTCAAACTTTTGTTCATTTTACTGTGAAGTGTATTACACATTATAATAAGATCTTTAATATTTTCTGTGTATGAATAAACTAGTTCTTTTATATTTTGTTTTCCTCTTGAATTATCTAGTAAACTAATAAATTGGTCTAAACTAATAGGTAATATTTCTTCGTTACTTAATTCTGTTATACTGTCTCTTATTTCATTCCAAACTTCTTCTTCTGTCCTAGGGTCGATTTTCTTTAATTTCTTTTTAGTTTTAATCTTTATTTCCATGTCATCTTGTGATACATTACTACTGGATTCATCAGTGTCGATATCGAGTGATACATGATGGTCTTTTTGTGCACACTGTTTTATTACTTCTACGTTTGATGAGTTACTGGTGGTCGGTGAATGAAGTCGCTTCTTTCCTTTTAAATTTGTTTGAGACGGTGTTATAAATTCGTATGTGTTCTGGATATTAATTACTGGTTCTGTTATTATAGTGTCATCATTTCTTTCAAAAATTTTTTTTATTTCTTGTGTTGTTTGGCTTTCTGATTGTTGTTGGTAGGATTGGGAAGTTGTGGTATTTTGTGGACAATTTTTAGATAAATGACCCTCAGTATTGCATGTAAAACATTTTAAGGCATCAGTTGATACGTAAATCCAGTAATTTGTCCCTTCAAATGTCAATTGGAATGATTCTGGTAGACGTGTATTATCTTCTGGGCTAACATATAACTGTCTTCTAAAACTTAATATATGAGAAAAACCTGGATCTGTCACTCCTATTTTCATGAATGTTATAGGGGACATTATTTGTATATTTAATTCATGAAATTTTTGTTCGATCACATAATTGGGAATCACGGGACATACGTTTGATAAAACAATTCTTTTATTTCTAGTAATCAATGGTTTTATTTCTAGTATATGTTCTTTAATATTAATCTTTTTATTTTCGTCTAACAATTTATCTGCAGTCTTTTTAGTGTCAAGGTATATACAAATACGTGCATTGGAAATACGAGATATAAATCGAATACAAGTCGCTGGTATAATTGATGATAAAGCAATAATGTACTCCCTGAGTGTTATTCCATCAATCGAATCCAATACGATGGCCTGATCTTTCTTGGGAAAACATGTTGATGACGTCACGCTAGCGTAGCTTGAAGTAGGTTTATGTTGATAGTTTATAGTTGATTGTGACATTGGGGGGCTTTGAGACGCTGGGATTGGATACATTTTGTTTTAAAGGGGCTCCTGTTTCCAGGAGTTGCCCTGTTTAAGTAAAATTAATATTCACTAAGTACGAATATAAAACACGACAACAACAGGTAAAAAGGAGAATGGACGCGCGTCCGTCGTGACTACCCGCGCTGAACTATATAGTTTTTTATTTACTTATGCTCCTGTCGAAAAATTTTCAAAAGACTCTTAAGAATTCATTCATATGAAACATATTAAATTGTAAACCACTAATATATATATATATAATTCATTATTAAAATTGATTAAAAATGAAATTAAATATCATACATAACAATGGTGGTGCCAAAATTACAAAATGCATAAGTCTTTTTACATATTAATTGGTAATTTTGGCTCCACCATTGTTATGAATGATATTAAATTACATTTTCAATCAATACCTAAACAGAAATAAACAGGAACATCTATACCAATATTATTACTACTGATGATATTATTACTGATTCGATCATGAAACCTCATTCACCTACGGGAAGCTTCATCATACGCGGGTGATGTAGACTACAATTTATATAGAATAAACAGAAACAAAAAGTAATAATTATAGCCACAAGGGAATAATGACTTGAACATAAAATCTCAAAATTTTGAAAAACCAATTAGATGGTCAATGTTTACAACTAACTGACTACTGAATTAAATATATATGTACATGACTCCATTAAAGCACTTTTAAAAATTTCTCACTTTTAATCACTATAATTTTCTTATAATGAACACATAAATTAGTCAAATCAGTCCAGCCAATTTCAAGTAATATGTTCATTACTATCGACTAAGAAATTACTATAACAATTTCATTTATACTGAACTGAACCACAAAACTGTCAATTTCAATAAAAATCTATGGAAAAAAGCATTCAGTACTAGAGCAACTTTTCTAATTTTACTTTCTTTGGAATATTGGAAACATTTATGCTTAAGCTAAATCGATTCCATTATTCTAACTGAAACGATGCTTTATTAACACAGACTATTTCATATAAATTAAATTTAGCTCCCTCTCATCTTATAAAGCAAATATTTTTACGTTTGTATGTATTAAGTCGCACGGTTACGATGGCACACACATTATTGCTTTATGCGTGATTGTGCCAGTTGCTTATTTTAAGATCGTTGCAGATAGTTCTGCAATGGCCAGCGTCCCTCGGTATGATATAAGGTTTTTAATTATATACTTTACATTCACATCCAGGAAGTCTTTCAATAGTTATGGTGGAATATAGAAATCCACATAATTTTAACCCTAAACAACCGACTGCGTAGCTAAATATAAACATAAAGGTTACGTTACGACAACTTTTTAAATCCCTCATTCGATCCAAGGAAATTTAGAAAACGGCAAAACGGAAAATAGTTCTTATTATGTCATCATCACAAATCCTCTTTTTGATAATAAAGTTTGTTTTCATAAGTGTCTAAAGTCATAAAGTTTGTTTTAATAAAATTTTTGATCCAACACATTTTATCTTGAATAATGCGCGCAAATGCTTTGCTCCACGTCTTCATAATAAATCTTTTGTTATGTTTTAATGCATAGTCATCTGCCTTTTCTTTGATTCGACTAACTGCCTTCGTAGTTAAACTGGTCATATTAAAACATCGATTTACCACAAGGTTAAACTAAACTTTAATTCCAAACAAAGATATTTCTACACTCAAGTAATTTATAAACTCCATTAGCATCGCATCATTTATATTATTGGAATAAAAATATCAATGTAACGACTTAAATATGTTGTCAAGTTATATGAGTTTTATTACTATACTAGCTTTCCGCTAGCGGCTTCGCCAGCATTATTCTGTATACATATAAAGCTTCTTCTTGAATCACTCTATATATTGATGAAAACCGCAATCAAATCCGCTGTGTAGTTTAAAAAAACTTGGCGTACAGTGAGCGGGAAACGATTTTCTTTTATACTAAGTACTTATGGTATAGATAGATGAAAAAGTTTATAGTGTGAAAGCGATGTCTCAATAACCTAGTGGCTTTTAAAAACCACGACTTACATACTAGTTTAAGTTTAGACATGTACACATTCTACGAGTACCCTAAATGTCGTCACAGTCTGTCAGTTTGTTCGCAATTTGTCAGTTGCGCATGCCACGTTAAAACAAAACTTTTATGTAGCGTCCGAACAGTCCGTGATCTGAATAAAAATTACAGGAGTGAATTTTATGTTCTTTAAAGCTGGACTTTTCGTTTTTTAAATTACCTACCCACTGATATTGGCAGTTCAAAATTATGTTTATCCCTAAACTAGCTTTCACCCGCGACTTCGTCAGCGTGGTATAGTTAATGGTTTTTTCACTTAAAAATTCAACAATAAAGCGTTTCTAACGAGTTATAACAGACGAAATCACTTTTCAGTTAATAATATATAATAACTAACAATAAAAAGCTTTCAAATTTGATGTTTTAATTATAAAAAATGGTTTATTTACTAACAAACTTCATTAAATTATTTATTAGTAAATAATAAGCCAGTATTGTTTTAAATTAACAATAATTATAAAGTTTTGATTTCTTTGAAAACATTATAATAATCCCTGAAACTAATATACTCAAACAACTTGAAAGAATTGTCTGTTTAAAAGTTTCCAAAGTTATAAGTAAGTACCTATATTATAAAAATAATCTTCTCTTACATACTGCGACACTTATTATATTTTATTTACAAAATTAAATATCCAAATTATTCTTCAGTATAAGTCCAGGAAATTCGTGATCGATTCACGCATTCACTTGGATTATTTTGAAGTGTATTAAAATTTCTATAAAGATTAATTTAAAAGTTAAACCAGTAGTTTCTCTCAGTTATACAAAATGTTAAAAATAACGTGATTTTAGAAACAACACAAAATTACATTTTATTCAATTATTTATGATCCTATATCCTGAATAAGGCATATGCATAAGTTCTATTGCTTGATATTCATACAGATATACTTTCGAGAAGCTTTTACTTATCATTATTTATTACATTTTTTCGGAATACTAGAAGTAATATAAGTTTGTATAAGACGGGTATTAACGCGATAGATTTCGATAGATACGTATATATATTTATATATATTATGCAACGCGGAAATTGATTCTTAAAAATATTAATTACTTATTACTAATGAGTTTTATTCAGAATGAGATTATCTAAAGATTCTATTTTTACTTAATTGAATTAATAGAATCGATAGATAGTATCCGATGAAATCCAATCTCATTAATTTAAGGTGAAATAGAATTGTAATATTATATTTATTAGGTCATAGTGACGTAGAATGCTTCATGTATTTGTAATCTATAATATTACTTACTGTTTTTGTATTGCTAGTTGGAACCCAAATGTTTAGTTATAAAAAACAACAATACGGATATATACTGAAATATTTAGAAAATTTTCGGAAGTGTAATTTTCGCACTTGCAAAAAATTAGTTTGACAAATAATTTTATTCTTAATGAAACATGTTTAAAAAATATACTTTATTTCTGGTACTCGATGATGGGATTCGAACCCACGACCTTTCACAATCCATTTTACAACATTTTTTATTAAAAATATTTCTCAGTATAAGCATTGTGAATGCAAAATTGACCAAATATTATAAACAATTTTATTGTTTAAAATGGAGCTGTGAGTTCAATCTAATAAAAATAAAGTACTATTTATTGATTTCTATAAATCTGATCTATAAATCTGAAAATAATTATTAAAGGAACTTTCTATTAGTCTTAAAATAATCAACAGTTCTTAAACTACCATTTGACAACGAAAAACAATACCAAAAATAACTAGAAGTATTTTCAAATTGCACATTTTTGAGATATTTATTATTATCAAAATAACTTAGCTTCAAGCTTTAATGTATATTTGATATTTGTATATGATTATAAGGAAATCTACCCTCCAAAATATCCCGTCAGTACCTTTCTTGGTTTATTCCACACCTTTTTGAGGAGAAAAAGAAGGATTTTGCGTGTTGTACAAATACCTACTACCGCAAGTCATAACTGAACCTGGTTTTTGGTGATGGGGCGGCTAGAAGAGTAAAAAGGAGTATATTGTTTTGACAATTGCCAAAATTATGTCCAAAAACAAACTAATACCGAGAATTTCACTATTTCGTACGGCCGTTTACAAGCCACTTTTAAATAAATTATTGATGTTCATTATACAGATAAAGTAATTAATGTTTAACCTATTTTCAAAGAAAATAATACTTAATTAAAAGTAATGGTATGCTTCTATTTTTATTTAAACTTTTATGAAAGAACTTACTTTAAACAATAACAATTTAACACTATAAGCGTTAAAATAAACGGACTCCATATGATTTTAGTTATTCGCGTCATAAAACGTCTATGACAACCATTTTTTAATTTAGAACTTAATTTAGAGCCATAAAAATGCAACTATTAATAAATTTTGTGATTCAATTGCGAGGGTGAACCGAATATTTTTACCTTAGGAAAAAGTTTATTTGCCAATTTGTATTCTAATTGATTGGATTCAGTTAAAGTTGTGCTTTTCTCAAAGTGTATTCATTACAAACGGAATTTCGTGCCTTTCTGTCATTTGAAATAAAACGAATTTGATTGGAAACTCAGGAGGAGGCTTAAGTATTGAAGAAATAACTTATTTGTTTCAACAGACCGCTGTAGGCTGAGAAGAAAATTTCACTTTATTTGTCAAAACTGGGCTCGGAGGCTCACCATATATTTTTTGAGATCAGTCATTTTGTCGGCAGTTAAATAATTTGTTATTATAGTAGAATCACTCAGAAAACCAAAGTAAATTAATAATACCTTTCATGTGTTTAAGAATACTTATGGTACATGCACACATTTCTTGTGATTTTGCTGCCTATAATAACAAACAAGGTATACAATGCGAATGGTTTGGTTTAAGCCTAAATATCTTTAAAGTGCGTTAAAATTTACAAAGTTCAATGGTTTTATGAAATTATGAAT